CGTCTTTTGGGGCGGTCTTGGGGGCCTCTTGACTCTTGGGCCGTCGTCTACGCTAAAATCTACGTTTTCCTCGTGGGGAATCAAAGATTTTGGCATCTTGGGGCCCTCTTGGGACGCCCCTTGGGCGCCTCTTGGGACTCTTGGGCTCTTGGGGGCTTCTTTTTTGGGCCTCTCGGGGGCCTCTTGGGCAGTCTTGGGCGGCCTTGGGCTGTGTTGGAACGCTCTTGGGCTGTTTTGAAAGAGAACTTCGGCCGTCTGGAGAGAAAATCAGAAAACAAAAACATACAACAACCCTAGGGCCTAAGGGCCTAGGGCCTAGGGTAGGGCCTAGGGCCTAGGGCCCAGGGCCCAGGGCCTAGGGCCTAGGGCCTAGGGCCTAGGACCTACCCCCGATTAGCACCAATTCCCGCGCGCCCCCCCCCCCTCCCCTGGGGCCCCTCCCTGTAAGGCTTCGCCCCGCCTGAACGTCATCGCTCCACCTCGCTCTTTCCGTTATCCTATGTATTCGGGCGCGCGCGCGCGATATGCCAATTATGCAATTTGTCCTACTCTACGTTACATATTCATATTGCATAATTGTAGCTATTACACATCAGTCCCGTGTATTAACCATACAACCATACCACGTCACTAACCACTCTAACCCAACCAAACACCAAACCGCTAACTAACTAAACTAATCCCATGCATTGAACATTACATTAATTTGGTCCCTGAAGCTTCGGCCGGGGAAAGGGGCGGGGTTCTGTCGGGGAGGGCATTGATGGCATTGCAGCTTTCGGATTGCACCGCCAGGCTGTGGTCACCACATGGCCGACAGCGGCCAAGCTGACCAGTTCCGATTGCATGGCGACGTTGACAGCGGTCAACCAGGAGGCTGCCCTAGACATCGGTTCAATCGAGTGCCGCAACGCTCAGATCAGGCGCCTTTGCCGGAAGGCCCAGACGAACGCCATTCCGTTCAGCAGGGCTTCAGCAGATTTCTTGATCCTCAGGCTTCCCATGTCAAATATTAAGTTAAGACTTGATGCCCCCCCCCCTTCCTGCGCGCCCGAGGGCAGAAGGGCCCCAGCCCCCGGGGGGGGCTCCTTTCAAAGTCGAGGCACCCATGAAGTTGAGTGCATGGGCTGGAGAGTCAGAGTGGCGCCCTGGCGAGTTCCGAACGAGCATTCTGAGTCGTTTCAACGATCCTCCGATCCCTTCCTTCAAGTCACCCAGTGAACCAGCAAAATGCCGCACTGGAATTCGCCAGGCAGGCCCAGGGACCATTGCAACACATATATTATGACATATATATGGTTTCGCCTCCCATGGACCGTCAGAGTCTGTCTGTCAGTCGTGCTTCGGGGGGGAGGTCTAGGAGAGTCTAGAGAGTCTAGGAGTTTGGGCGTCAGAGGACAGCTGTCCTGCGAAGTTTTTTGCTAGGGCCAGCTGCTAGGGGCGTGGGGATTTTGGCGCCGAGATTTGCGCGTCGTCGCATGGGGCCAACGCCCGCCCCCCCCCCTCCCGCCGCCCCCCCCCCCCCGGCGTCGCGGTGATTTGGCGCCCAGTCAGGGGGGTGGGGCGGGGGTCGAAGCCGAGGGCGCACCTTCTGAAATCTGAGCCAGAGGTTGCGCCGCGAGTTGCAGCTCTCGCGGTCGACGCGCGCCCGCCCGGAGGGCAGCTCGAGGGGCCAGAGACGGAGGCGGAGGCTCCAGAGGGGCGCGCCTGCAGACCCAGCGAAGGCAGCTCGCCTCGCGCGCAGGCAGGGCCGCCCAGGAGCGATGAGGAAGTCCAAGCGGCCCCGGAGAGGTCCCAGGGCGGCCTTTCCCCAAATGTCCACAGACCCCCCCTCCTCGCCCTAACCTTAATTATTGTTACTAGTTGTTACTTGCTAAGTGCGTAAGTCCTAGGTCCTAGGTCCTACCCAAATCCTAAGTCCCACGCCGTATCAGCAAGCATAAGTAACAGTGCCGCTGCCAGGGCTCAGTTCGCATTGATTCGCCCATTCATTCCAAGGGGGTGAGTTGCATTGCGTTGCGTTGCGCAGAAATTGCAAGTTGTGGGTTTGATTGGTTCGCTGGCGCTCTAAATTTAAATGCTCGTTCGATCTAAATCTAGCGAGGTAACGAGTGCGACAGCCCCATGGTAGCGCCAAGATTTCAGGTCATCCAGGATCAGCTCCGAGGCAGGAGGAGGAGGAGGAGGAGGAGGAGGAGGAGGAGAAGGAGGTTGAGGAGGAGGAGGCAGAGGAGGAGGAGGAGGAGGAGGAGGAGGTGGAGGGGGGGGGGGGGGGTTAGGAGGAGCACGGAGGAGGAGGGAGGAGAGGAGGACGGAGGAGGAGGAGGAGGAGGAGGAGCAGGGGAGGAGAAGGGGGAGGAGAAGGGAGGAGGAGGAGGAGGAGGAGGAGGAGGAGGAGGAGGAGGAGAAGGAGGAGGAGGGGTTAGGGGAGGAGGAGGAGGAGGAGGAGGAGGAGGAGAGGAGGAGGAGGGGGAGGAGGAGGAGGAGGAGGAGGAACCCAGCAGAGAAGGGTTACGAAATTGGCCAGGGTGGCTCAGAGCAGGAGGAGGAAAAGGAGGAGGAGGAGGAGGAGGAGGGGGGGGAGGAGGTGGAGGAGGCCTCGAGGAACCTAGTCTTAGAGTTTTAGAGTCTTAGAGTCACAACTGATTTCGCATGCAGGCCCTGCGG